TTTCAATCTTATCTTTCCATCTTTCCAGCAAATAATTCCCTGCCGTATCATATTATTAAATTCATTGCAATCTTTTCTAGTGTGTGAAGCATCATCACACCAAATGCATCTTTGTATATATCCTTGTTTTGAAACATTCTTCGAATTGTTTATAGAAGTATTCTCTTGAAGTCTTGCCAATTTGATTTGAAGATCTCGCATTCCTCGTATAATTTCTTCAATCCCCATATCTGCTTTCTTCGATAAGGATGTCGAAGGTTGAACTGTAGGCATCGTTGGTGGTGTTGTACGTATTGCAGCTTTGGGTGCTTGTACTGTTTTCAGAATATTGCTCCTATCCTTCCTCCTTTCTTTTTTTGTAAGCAACCCCACTGCATCTTCAACGTTCTTCCACTTTGTTGTCAATCCTTCATCTTCTTCTTTGTCTTCAAGAAGAAGTTCTAATTTTCCTTGCAATTCTCTATCAGCAGCTTGAAGAAATAGATCAACTTTGTTCGGCTCCAATGTCAATTTTTCTACCTTTGATAATTGAGAGTACTGCCTCTCAAATTCCCTTAGTAGCTTTGTTGCTTGCAAATTCTTATTGGGCCGTTCAATCCATTCCAGAAACAGCTTCTTAGTAACGTGATCAGCATCTTCCAAGAAATATTCGTCTTTCAATGCATGTAAAAAAACCTCCCATGAATTCCCATAACGATCCATAATCGATGTAATGTGGTCTCTTATCTCCGATATCGTAGCAAGTCCAAATAATTCAACCATTTTCTTCTCAAAATATCCGATTTAATTCCATTTCACGAACATAACATCTTAAATACCTTGAAATATTCCTCCCATCAAATTGATCAATTTTATTGACCACTGCTTGCAATGCTTTGGTTGCCAAAGCTTCCTTTCGATCATTGCTTTGTTGTTGCTGCATTGATAATGAGAAGGCTTGAAACATATTAGCAATAGACGGATCCATGTGCATACCTTGTCCTTTAGAAGAATCCTCACCAGAAACTCCTCCCAAAAATCCTACAAAATTTTTATTTTCGTTTTCCATAAAATAAAGATAAAATCAACCGAAATCCAATACCTTCCACCTCAAGCTTTCACGTCGGGTTCACCACTTTTGTCGTATTACGTGCTTTCTTACTCGAGAACGCACCGGGCGTCTGGCTATAGAAGGTAGTATCGAGATTCGCCAATAGTCAAGCAGTCTATCAATTTTTGACTGCTGGAATATAAACGACTGCAAGAATCCATCGTAAATCTATACGGATGCCCTTCGACTGCTTGTCAAAGTCCTTTTTGCCCTAGCCGGTAGGTCTCTAGACGTTACAGAGAACCCCGAACAACCCAAACTATTAATCTTCAATATCGCTTTGTACTTACGATCTTGTATCCACTGACTGTCTTGTTAAATTAATCCAATAAATTTCATTCACTCCGCATACTCAATCCTATAGACACCCTTTTAATTCTTCAATCACAGACGTAACTCGATTTCACAAAAACAGTCAAGAGTAATCAAACCCACTTCATTAAAATCCCGATTCACCATTACAACACTCACTTCAGCAACGATTGCCTCAGTCTTCCCAAAACCCTATGAAGAAGAAAAACCCAATTCTCTGTCTTTTCTTCCCCGACCCCGAAGCATGAAGCTAGCTCTCTCCTATCTTCAAAAAAACTCCCCCCCAAAACTTATTCTCTCCCCTAACCTTATCCTCTGAATTTCTTCAATCTTTCGTCTTGGATCCGAAATTGGCTCCCACCATCAAGCTTGGATCCAAAATTGGCTCTTGCCGTCAGAGCTTTTCCCCCCGTTTTTACCTTTAAGAGATCCTTTTATCGAAAACAATGTTCCCTGAAATGGCACATAGAACAGGATAGCCTGAAACAGAATCAAAACCCCGTAATCGGGACCACATTGAGTCGCCCGACCAATTCAGGTCTCATATTGGGTAAGAGGACCCGGATTGGATTCTCGAAATTGGATCCAATTGGCTCTTCGAACCAGGCTCACCCGTCGCGTGAATTGGTCCTTTTCCTTTCTGCTCACTCCCGTTATTAGAATCGAACGGAGCATTTCAGTATGCCCCAGCTGACTGTAACGGGGTGACTGAACCTGGCCACTCAGTATTTGCACTGGAGTTGGTTGTTGCTCCTAATATTCGAGGTAACTGAATATTAATAAAAGTCCTTTTTCTTTATATTTTCACGATATACTCGTGTTACAATACGACACCAGAGTCAATGAAAATCCATCCAGTATTCCACGTGTCTCTTCTTGAACCATATAAGACAATGGACATACCAAGAAGACGACAAGCTCCACCTCCTCCTATAGAAGTGGAGAATAATGAAGAGTTTGAAGTAGAAGAAGTCTTAGATTCAAGGCGGCGCTGAAACAAATTAGAATATCTTGTCCATTGGCGCGGATATGGTATTAGTGAATGCACATGGAAGCCAATAAAGAATCTTGCAAATGCAGCAAAGGGAGTGGAGGCTTTTCATCGACGACATCCATCAAAATTAAGATGAAAACCTTCTTTATAAAAGAAAAAACATCTAGGCAAGATAACATTCTACTTTCAATTCTTGTTCGTAGCTTCTTTGTAGTAGTGACGCTCAGGAGATAGAGAACCAACAACCAGTGGATTCGACTCAAGAGCCTTCATTTGTTGACCTGTCGGATGAGACATTATGATTGTCACAACCTTCAAGACGACGCAATTGAGATGAAGATCTTCAAGAACGACATGTTCTTCCTCGAATAGATGGCGAGATACAACGCGTTTGGTATCACAATTTGGGAAGGGACTCCCGATGTTTGGTGATTGTGCTAGAGGTAGGAACAACTCCTGATGGTGTTCCAAATATTCTATTCGAAGGAAGTTACGAAGGCCTCAACAATGATCAAATAACTGGGTGGTCTTCCCGCCCTGGTATGGGATACTACCGATGGTTGAGAGGCCCTATCAATCATCTTCGAAGAGAACAAAGATCAGAGTATGTGGCGAATACAATTCGTCGCATCATAGATTTCCTCAACATATGATGACCGCTCCTCGTGGAACTCGTTCCTAGAAGGGGGGGTAATGTCACGGACATAATCATGTAAGCTAATAATTACATATACAAATGGATAGAAGTAAGTAAAAGTAGGTAAAAATAAGTTAATTCTATAGTATTTAATATAGAAGCTTCCTAAAAGCTTCATAGACGCTGCTTTGACTTCATAGGTATCTTTAATTGACTTTTTGGATTAGAAACGTGGTCAACAAGTTGGCCATGTGCCACACATGTTGTTAGCTTGAAGATCAAGCTAACTATGTGGCCCACACATAGAAGAACTTGCCTTATAAGTCAAGGCATGTGTCCTACAAAGTCAATACATATTGGAGGTCCTATAGAACGTTGCCATGTAGCCCTTAGTTAGATAGTATATATAGAGACAAGAGTGAAGGCTTCTTCACTCTTGTCAATTCCTTTCTTACTTCTAGTCTAGTTTCTAGGGTCTGTAGTTTTCTTGTCTTTTGGCAATAGCCATTCCAGTTTCTCTTTCAATATATATACTTATATATTTTGTTACCACTCTTTGAGTAAAGGCTCACTTCTTTGAATTGTTTTTTCATCGAGTTCTTGTCCTTGACACATTGTCAACTTCTTTTATAGACATAGGAATAATTTTTCTATGATTGACATTAGTAATATGTGAAATTTTTGTCCTAAGAATGTTGATAAGCAATAGTTATAAATCTATTTTTATTTCTATGAAGTGAAGAATCTGAAATTTATTTTCCTTCTATTTCTATTATAGACAACAAATTAACAAGCCAAATTAAAAAAGGATAATTTGCAATCTCTAAAATCAAATCAAAATTTCCATAAAGAAAGATAGTATATATATATTTTTTAAAAGAATCAATATTAGAAAAATAAATAATATAAATTTAAAGATAGGTAATCTACAACTTTTAAAGTACAATAATAAGAAGTACGGTAATCTATTCACTTCTAAAATAAAACAAGAATAAAAAATTAATATTCTTATTAAATTATTTATTGATATTTGTCTTGTATTAAGAAATTCCTAGCTCCTTTATTTGAGGATGTGCCAAAGCAGCACCTCTGTAGATTGATGTAGATACAATTTTATGTTTGTTTGAAAAAGTTGCTAGAATTAGCAATAAGATTTTAGCCCATACCTTATATGGACGTTGTAGTGCCATACAATTTGTTTTTTTGTATAATAGAATCAAATTTCTTGTATGTTTTTTAAACTACATTGTTGTAAGTTTGATCTATGTACATTTGAAATAAATTTGAACATTATCAAAGACATAAGTTATGACAAAATTCTAAAGATACAATATAATCTCATAACATTCAAAAAAACAAAGTAGACAAATTAAAGATAGATATAAACTTAGAAATTAAAATAGCTATTTCTAAATTCAAAGATATTCAAGAATCTTAAGCATCTTGAACAAAAAAACAAGGAAATTGATAAAAATGAAGAAAGAATCATTCTTGCTTTTATACATATTATCTAACTAAGGAACTATGTGACAAATAAGAAATATGTGGTAATATCAATATATTTGTATTAATACACATGATTATTGTAGTGATATATCTTCGAAGAAATTAAAGTTCCAAGTCAAGCAAAGTGAGCTAAGATAGCTAATCTACTATTGACCACCCTTCCATAGGGTGGAGTATTTCTATTAGTCTAGTTACCTATTTTCAACTCTATTTGACATCCATTGGTTAGAAATAGATTAGAGGCTAGTTAAAATGATGTTAACTTGTGATTAGAAATAGATCAAGGACTAGTCAAAATGATGTTTACTTGTAATTAAAAATAGGTTCAAAACCAATTAAGTTTACAACATTTCTAATCACAAAAAAAAATCCAAAGATGGAATGAGTGTATTTTGATATAGGTGATAGTTGTAAATTGATTGGGATGGAATAATAGCATAATTAGGTGCCACACTTCTGAGTCTTGTAAAAATTAAATTCTCAATTTTATAATCCTGTATGTTGAAAACGGATCAAAGGGAGGCTATCCCACGTTTGTTTCCAGTTTAGCTGGAAAATCTATGACATATGATAGTACTAGCATCAAAACTGCTCCAGAGCACCTACCTTAAGATCATACATAAGAACTCAGCTATATAATTTTCCTTCCACTCAACCACAGGTCCACACGATTCAGCAGTCCAATTAAAATCTTAGACAACGCCCTCACGGCTAGGTTCAATTGGAATGGAGAAAAGATGCGAGAGTGCTATTAGTGCGTATATTACACACATCATTTTAAAAAGTCTGCCGGGTTAAAAACTATCCAAGACAGGATATCATACAGCATCCTTGCATCGCAGACAAGATCGACTCAAAATGATTTCTACAAGACTGTTTATCTCTGGAACCAGGTTCGATGTCAAACTGTTCCAAAGATGGACAGTATATGCCTCTTCATAAATCCTGGTCAGCAGCTTCATTTGCCGTTGTTTTTGAATGGAATCTTCTGGTGCTGCAAAGAATCTGCCCACAAGAAAGCGTAAAAGCAAAAACATCCCCATCAGCACACATGAAGACTTGCAGGAACCTACAGGGAGAAGGTTAGGACAAAGAAACCTAACAAACCCAATCAAAACTAATTCAGGAGTTTGCACTCACTTTGAGATTCGACTTGAATCCAGAGGGAAGAAAGAAAATGGCCCCTGAACGTTCAAAAGATCAGGGAACTGTCTCCACGTGCTACCGTTTTCAAGAACAGTAGAATTAGCAACTCGTGTCAAAAGATCTGCTCCATTCCACTGAATCAATGTCTCATTATATGTGTTTGTGAACTCCTCCATGCACTTCTTCAAATATAGACTGCAAGAACAAAGACAAATCACAATCCTGATCAATTTAAACAAAGATGAGCTAGCTCAGTATTACCAGGAAAAAGTCAGACCTGCAGGATTTAGAGGAAACCATCTAATACACTACTAATGCTTCAAAAATCACCGAAAGAAATAGCTAATGGATTATTGCATGTTTAGTCTAGCAGACCGAAGCTGGTCAATCCCCATTAGATACATCACATGAAAGGGAAGAAACTTGACCATATCGCAAAAAACAGGAGAACAAGATGACAACCCTGACCTGGATTTATCAAAGACCAGAATAGCACCATTAAGTCGCAGCTCTCCATTGCTAGTAAGCTCTGTACCCACAGTATTGTGTAGACTGTCTAAGGCTCTCAAGACAATCACATCCATATCTAGGTATACTCCTCCAAATCTGCATAGTTTCCAACCGCGCACCATTGTCAAAGTGATCACACACGGAGGCGTACTGTGGCATAATATGCACAAAACTCGTGAAGAAACAGTTTCATAACATGGAAACCAAACGATCGTTACGCAAAAATTAATTACAATTTTATATTTCTATTTGAATTTCCTAGTATAAAATTGCAATCCCACCAAAGTGAACGTTCGTGGTGATCCATGTGAGAAAACACCTTTAACAAACTTAGTCTTCCTCAATTACTATGGAATCAGGCCAGTAAGGAATAAAACTAAAATTGCCAGAAATCTCACTTGTAGAGGGCAGCCAATCTTAAAAGCTCAGTGTAATGCAAGTAAAACAAAGGTTTTTCCCTCCATTTTGGCAAGATAGCAGCGAAAGCATCAGATGGGGTGTCTGCCAGAAGCTCGTGCAGATTTGGTCGCACTACAATCACCTTGTACCTGAAGAAAAACCTCCAATGACTTTGTTAGGTGAGTCATGACAAGTTAACATGGAACTGCAGAAATTCAATGCTGAACACGAAACTTACAAATGTAAAGAAACAACGCACTCAGCGTACCCTTCTTTGATGAAGCTCTTGAAATGGTCTAACTCAAACGATTCAGAGAAAATGACCACACAAGCATTCCGGTGAAACCGAAAAAGGCTCTCCAACACCCGTTCGTGTCTAGCGGTGAAGCCCCACGCAGAGGTAGTCCAAGCCATAAAGACATTCAATGAGCAGCTCTCTTGCCCCAAGAAAGTTTCAATCATACTCGAAGATTGAGAGGATTTTATTCCTGCATGAGATACCCATTGCTTATCATCTCCTTTGCTTTGGGAACTCGTTTCCAAAGACTTCGATTCAATGGCTGGAGTATCGAACACAGAAACGGTAGCATTCGAATGAGACGACTCGGCTATTCTATTCCGCCCTTCACCAACGTCCTCACCCGCGCTATTTATCTTTCCAGAATCACGTAAATCTCTCATTTCAGCTGGCACAGCCTCGCTGTTGCCTCCCTTCTCCTCCTTTGACCCACTCAAAACATTGACTGCTAAAGCTTGTGTGTCCACTTCAGAAACTGCCGTAGTGACAATTTCAGAGACGCTACCTCTCAAGAGAACCTTCGGTTGCTGCCCGCGACTACGTAGGTGATACCCTCTCATAGCTCGCAACATCTGTTTGTCACTCTTCGTCATCCAAGTTCCCGGAGTCGTGTCAGGATCTTGTAGCATGGGATTGTTAGCAGGATTCATAGGGTCGAATGCACCTCTCCCCTTCTTCAGGATTACACCAAACTTCTTTGAGGGAATTGGTTTGTGGTCTGGTGTTCCATCCCCATTCAGCAACAAGGCATCCTCAATCTCACGCACACCTTCAAGGCGTTGCTGAACGTTGTCATCTATCAACTCATCATCGCTGTTAAACCTCTCTTTCCAGTTCTGAACAACCTCCTTGAACCCCATCAGTTGCAGCACAGCCACTTTCGCTGCACCATCATCCCCTGCAGCAACAGGATGCTTGCTGGTCACATTTTCACCAGGTTTGAATATGCCTGTCAAGTCCTTTGTTCCTTCTGTGCCCACAGAAGGCTTCTTTCTGACACCTACAGTGTGATCCCAAAGGAATGACCTCTTCTTCTTCTCCAGATCCTTCACTGGATCTCTATGAGAACCTTCCTCGAAAATATCGACCCTTCCTCTTTGCCGGTTATCTAAATTGCTATCAAGGACCCAATCCGGAATGGCACTTGCCTTAGCCGTCTTGTCGTCCCGTTTAGAATCGTGCCCTCCCCGGTTCCCTTCATCCTTGTCCTTAAAAACACTAATACCTTTCTCCATATTTACAAGAGTACCATCAGGTGACTTAACAGAAGCCACTCTTTCAATTCCCCGATTAATTGCCGCAGACGAAACTGGATTATCTACAGCAGTATGTCCAGATTTTCTTCGAGTATCTATCTCATCTGTGTCACGTTCAGCAGAGTCTTCATTCGACATTTCTGCAAGAACTTCCAGATGCGTGTCGTCGAGGTCTTCAGTCTCGTCTTCGAGCACTCTGTCATCTAGATCAATATCGAACCGGTCTTGATCAACATCTTCGTCTTCATCCCCTTCGTCTCCCATTTCTTCTTCAACCTCCATGTCCTCATCGCTATTTTCTCCTTCTTCACCTTCTCCAATGCCCATTTTTCTTCCGACCTTGTCCTTGTCACCCGCTCTTACTTTATTAGTCCTCACATCCAAATTAACGCTATTTCTTACGCTGGTGTCCTCCTTCCACCAAGCCTGCTCAGCTCCAATGCTCTCATCTGTTGAAGAAAACGTGACATAAGAATCAATGAGATGCTCAAAACTAGTACGCTTAGAGCCAGGAAGCGAAGTACGTGGTAGAGTAATTACGCGTGAAATACCAAATCTCCAATCTAAACTCATGAATCACAGATGTGAAGAAAATCATTAGAAGGTAACGAGAAGAATCCGCCGTCCTAAAATCATCAGAGAGAAGTTAGGATGATAAAAGCTTGTCAGTAACATAATTAGTCGAATTGCATGATTCAGGAAAATCAAAATAATCTTGTCTTAGATGCAAGCTGGGTTGATAGGGTACAGCCAGATGATATTCGTCTGCAGCAAACGCTGGCACTCATTCTACAGAAGAAAAAAAACTGGAGATTAAAACTTGATAAAGACACATACCTGATTTTCCATTCTCGAGAGGACTGAGTTTGGAGCCTTGTGGAGCCCTCAGCAGATAAATTTGCAAGAAAGCAACGCTGGAAAACAAGAGTAAACCTCCAGCGATAAGAAATAAGTAGATTCTTGAATTTGACTGCCGCGAAGAAAAAGACGTTGATGACGATAACCTTGATAAAGATCGATTCAATGAAGAGGACGACCCTAAACGCCGAGGCCTGGGCATTCTATTCTCAATATGAGGGCTCAGTCCCTCGTCCCAAATTGTTTAAAGAGAACCAGCCACTATATAGTGCGCCTGCTTGATTATACAAGTCCTCATCATCTGTAACCGACCTGGAATGACGGACGATATACCGCCCAGTCGCGTTGATCCCACCTTCTCTTCTCCTGTATCAAAAATTCCAGGTCGATGCTCTAAATTGGGAGCTTAACAGAATTTAAGCTCACAAGATAGTATCAGACTTCTGGGGCACTTAAGATTTGTACATGAGCATGCCGATTCAAAACTGTTCAAGTTTTCTTTCCAACCCAATCCTAGTTGCGAATCACTTTACCAAGCTCCAAGCTAGAGATGAATGTAACTGATACGAAGGACTGACCTTGTCTGTATCTGGGATAAAGTACATTATACAACTGTTCATAGAAAGTTCATACACAAACTGATTATTCAGCACATTCTCAGCGCTCTCGACTGTCAAGTTGCGGCCCACAAGAATGGATCTTGATTTTGAAAGCTGCATAAAAATTTATTTTTCAATATCAGAATGGAATAACTGTGGTGACTTCTACAGAAACGTTTTTGCTTTCTAGAAACAGCGTATTGTCGTGAAATAACCTTAGAGTGCCAGTACAATCTCTCATTTAAGTACGAGCGTAACGCAAATCAAATAACAAATAAAATAGTTCCTCATAGAGAAGAAAACAAAAACCCACAGTCGGACTCAACAAGGTTTGAAATCCAGACATTTGCAATAACAAATTGCAGGGAGGACAGAGAAAATATATGAAGCAAAAGAAATAGTAGCGTTTGAAAAATGATAGAAGGAAATCAGTGCGCCTGAGTACGGAGAGGAGAGTAATACAAAGTCCACCCTCCCTTTTCAGCCAACCAGACCATCCTAGATAATTTCAGAAATCAGTGCGTCTAGTAGACCACAGCCGCCAGCAAAGAGTCAAAAACCACATAATCTCACCCTTCATTTTTCACTCACTTGCTGATAACATCTGCGAACAATACGCGTGTCATGAAATTTCATTCACATCTATATTGGCGTGTGCTGGACTTCCACTGCTTGACCATCTCCGCCATCTACGACCTTCCAAGTTCTCTGAATGAGAACAATATCGTATCCTCAAAACTTTCAACAGCTACTACGATCTGAAGTCGGAGACTAAGTAAGTTGCCACATCATACTATGTTTTTTAAAGAAGAAGGAAGAGAACGAGTACACAAAGAGTGCATTCTCGAACACTGAAAGTCAATCAAGTGACTCAACAAATCAATTGCATCAATAGATGGCTTCTAACAAGAGCTGGGTATTATATTTTGAATCCAAGGGCACAATCCCTCGTCTCAAAACATTCGAAAGGTTGACAACCTTGAGGATAATTGTCACTTCGTAGACGACAATTATACCTGTGGCCTCACAACCTCTAGCTTCGATTACCTTCTTCTTGAACAAGAAACAGCAAACCTTGTACCACATTATCGACAGATTCCTCAACTCTGCATAAACCCTTCTCTCTGTTGATGAGATCCTTATGCCGGCAACCACAACGTCTACGATACGTCTTAAAAAATGTGACTATAAACGCGTGAAGATTTCTTACGATGTAGCTCTACAACAACGACCAGTGACCATGAACGTTTGATTTCTTCAACTCATCTCCTCAACTCAAGCTGACCTTCGCCATAAACGCTTGAATCTCAAACGCGCTGAATACCGTACACTGTGTTCCTCTCATTCTCTCCGCCCGGTTCCCTTCATTATGCATAATTTTGCCTCTGTTCATCGCAAATAGATGCATAATCTTCAGATACGCCTCATTATCGAAACAACACACCCGTCTACAAGTCTCAACCTCGCCCTCCGCAAAACACCATTGCAAACTTCGACACTCAATGCGGCTACCAAAGGCAAATTTACAAACATCGATCAAGTTGGTAGATGCTTGTCTTCGCCATACGACGATCAAGAGAACCATTAAAATCCGAAACTACATCTGTCAATCAATATTCCGCCCGGCAAGTTTCTTCTGCTCCTGCTAAACCGCAACGTTCTAAATTTAGAAAAAGGCTCTCACATGTCAATATGATTCAAAAAGCAGAGTCAACACACTTCTCCTGCTGACTGCAGCTTCTTGATTGACCTCCCGACAACAGAAGCAATGTAATCACATCACTTGCACCACCAATACAGAATTACGAAAACGAGGACCAACGATCGGACTGAAAGGTGGACTAGGAGCAATCAATATCTTCACGTCCACATTCCGCCCTCACAAGCTACAAAACCTCACGACTCTGCTCTAGCTTCTAAAGCAATATCCTTAGCACACTTCAGCACTCCAGCACCTTTTCCCTCTCCCCCTGAGCCGCATCAACCCTTGCTAGGCTCAAAATCACCGCGCCCTCGTCCGAAACCCGCCCAATCGACACCTAATCCAATCGACGCCTCAACGCCCTCTCTCCATCACCACAAACCCTCTCAAACTTTCAAACTCCAAACCCGGCAACTGAGCCAAAACCAACACACACACACACACACACACACAACTCCTCTGGCTGCTAATACCTTGCACATTAAACAAAAATCGGTCGGCTTACGGAGTCCACACTGACAATCGCTAACATTGGAGGCTAACTAATGCCAAGTTCAAACCCCTCGATATCTCTCGGGCTCCAGGTCTTGGGCTCCCCCTCATTTGCGCCAGCATTACCACCCAAGCTGCTCGCTCAGCCTTCCGCGGAGTAGCACTCTGCGTCTTTCTGGCTGTCTGTCTGTCTGTCTGTCTATCTGGCGTTATGATCGAGACTTTAGCTTCCGACGCACCACCACCGACGTCGTCATTAACGTCGTCCCAGTCTGCGTTTCTCGCCTTTCGATGTATACGAACCAGACGGCCCGAGACGAAACGGGAGGGGACGGAACGAAACGCAACGGGGCTGGATGACGTTGACACTAAGGTGGCCAACTATACATCCGTCCATATTTATTCGTTCGTTCCTTCGTGTATGAATGTATATAGTTTTGTATTCATCCATCCCTTTGGTTCCGCTCGTTGTCCTTCCATGCCTTTATCAGGACTCGACCCCGGACCAGATAATGGAAAACCAAAACCCGGTCCGCCAGGGAGGAGACCCATGTGATGGCTGGCTCTTGACCGGGCAGCCAGTCCATCAGCTTATTCCGGTGTAGCTTTCCCCCTGTTGTATTGTAAAGAACCTGAAAATATCTATCAATTGTTGAAAGTAACAGCCCCCCTTGTTGCCAAAACCATTGTCCCATTCATTTTCTCCTGTGCCTGCCTGCTCATGTGGAGCTTTTGTAGGATGGGTGTTCCTCTCAGGCTCATGTGTTTTGACTCATGTTGTATTGCACCCACAAATGCCCACCAGACAAAGCTTTTCTATGGAGCTGAACATTGTGAAGAAGAACTTTTATTGGTGATTCCTTGCTTCTGGTGATGGCTTCTCTCATTTAGCATAGGATTCAAGGTTGTTTAGAATATTGTCATGGAATCTTAATAGGTTATACATAAAAGGCTCGAGTTACAAGCACATCCTAAGCTACAAGCACATGCTTAGTTGTTACACACACACCCATTATGTCTATATACACATCCAAGGCTTTTGATTTGCTCATTTAGATATTATTTTCCTTGTCATGGTATGGATCTCAATCACCCTCACTTTCTTCATTGCCTTAACATGAGTCTTATTGCCTCTCAATCATCTTCGCTCTCTTCCTTGCCTTGACATGAGTCTTCTTGCCTCTCAATTACCCTCACTCTCTTCCTTGCCCTAATATGAGTCTTGTTGCCTCTCAATCACCCTCGCTCTCTTCCTTGCTCTAACATGAGCCTTATTGCCTCTCAATCACATTTGCTCTCTTCCTTGCTCTGACTTGAGTCTTGTTGCCTCTCAATCATCTTCACTCTCTTCCTTGCCTTGACATGAGTCTTGTTGCCTCTCAATCACCTTCACTCTTTTCCTTGTCCTAACATGATTCTTGTTGCTTTTCAATCACATTTGCTCTCTTCCTTGCCCTCACATGAGTCTTGTTGCCTTTCAATCATCCTTGCTCTCTTCCTTGCCCTAACATGAACCTTATTGCCTCTCAATCACCCTCGCTCTCTTCCTTGCCCTAACATGAGCCTTATTGCCTCTCAATCACATTTGCTCTCTTCCTTGCTCTGACTTGAGTCTTGTTGCCTCTCAATCATCTTCACTCTCTTCCTTGCCTTGACATGAGTCTTGTTGCCTCTCAATCACCTTCACTCTTTTCCTTGTCCTAACATGATTCTTGTTGCTTTTCAATCACATTTGCTCTCTTCCTTGCCCTCACATGAGTCTTGTTGCCTTTCAATCACCCTTGCTCTCTTCCTTGCCCTAACATGAACCTTATTGCCTCTCAATCACCCTCGCTCTCTTCCTTGCCCTAACATGAGCCTTATTGCCTCTCAATCACATTTGCTCTCTTCCTTGCTCTGACTTGAGTCTTGTTGCCTCTCAATCATCTTCACTCTCTTCCTTGCCTTAACATGAGTCTTGTTGCCTCTCAATCACCCTCACTCTCTTCTTTGCCCTAACATGAGTCTTGTTGCATCTCTTTCTTTCTTCAGCATGGGTTTTAATCCCCCTCCTCTTCTTTGTCCCAATGAAAGTCTTGGTAGGCATACCACACTAAATATAGATATGCATTATATGCATGAATTCCATTGAGCTTTGAAAGTTTCGACAATATTTGTGTCTTTCACTTCACCCTCTTCAAAGAATTTTTCATTGAGATGCTTTGTTTGAACTTTTAAAAAAGAGTTTATGCTAATTATTCTTACTTTCACTACTTAATGTATTTTTATTGGTACCTTCAAGATAAGAGTCATCCCGCTTTGTCCTTTGATAAATAATCTAAGGATCAAAATTAAGTTGTCATTCTCTATAATCACAGCTTTTTTTTTGGTTTTGTAGAACTTGATATAATAAAAAAAAAAATTCAAAATTTTTAAAGTTCATGACAATTTAAAGGTTTTAACTATAGGTATTTATTCTTATTTCTTATTAAATACAAATTAAATGAAGCATTGCAACGACAATTCGCAAAGAGATCTTGGACGGAAAGGAAGAAAACATGATAGAGAATCTTGGCATGGATATTACTTTTGATATTGAAATCTCATAATGTGTCATCCCTAATTCTTCAATGCCCAAGTGGCTAATACAATTTCTAGAGGCAAGGGACAAGAAAGAGAGGGAGGGGATGAAAACCTGCACCAAGACAACAAAACAAAACAAAAAAAAAAAAAAAAAAAAAAATCTAGATGAGCCAATCAATAGCCTTGGGTGTGTTGTAGACATAATGGGTGTATACATAGCAACTTGGAATGTACTCGTAGCCTAAACCTACATTAAATTGGTTATGATCCCAAATCTTTGCCTCAACAAATGTAAGTGTTTGTCTCCAAGAACCAAAGCTTTTATATAACATTTTTGTAAATATAAACATAACCATGTAAATATTTTTGTTGCATTTTAATTACGTATGTGTATAAATGGTTACTACACATCATGATTTTATGTCTGTAAATAAAATAATATTTTCTACTTTATTAAATGTTGCAATCTTTGATAAATCTACTACCAAATTTTGACAATTTGTATACATTACTGGTTTTCTATTTGTGTTTTATTTTTGCAAATAAAGTGTCAAGCATTTCTTTAATTTTATTGATTGCTGTTTAATTTCTTATCAAACTCTAACTATTTACATTATATTCATTAATTCTGCTTATAAAAAATATTTAACTTATAACATCTATCGTGTATTCGTAATAAGTAAAGTGTTATATTTTAATATTAATATTATTGTTAATAAATTTAGTTAAAAAATAACATCGAAACTTTAAAATTAAAATATATATATATATATATATATATATAGTAGAGCCTTTATTATCATATTCATATTAATTATTTTGTGATTCTAATTTTGAATATTAGCAATAATAATAATAATACATAATCTTCTTTAAATTGGAAAAAATTCTTCGATCAATAATTTTATGTATAGAAGTAAAAATAATCTTGTAAAAGATGTAAATATTTTTTTTCTTTATTTTTTTAAAGTATACTTTTGCATAAAATTTATATTCAGTAGTATAATTACTTGTGCTTTTAAGGTTTTCCAAGAGCCACATCAAAATATATTCGAAATTATTATTAATGTTATCATTGTTTAATTTAATTTAATACATGGAAGGATATTACTATATTCATTGTATTTTTTTCAATTTTTATATACTGCATTCAAAAGATTAAAAAAGTTTTAATGTGAAAATTTGAAATGGTTCCAAATAGTATTCTGCTAATAATTTAATAAGACTAAAATAATTCTAGTTCATTATATATAGATGATTGAAGTTACTTAGGATTGTTGTATTTCCAATACCTAATTTAATATCATAACTTGCAATCACACATCTCTAAGATCTTATTTCAAGCTTTTTGCGTTTTTGGGTTTTTTCTTTTTTCAATTCTTTCAAATAATTTAATAATATCCTGGTACTTTGAGCTCTAAATTAAGAATTTTATTTTAGTATATTATTATATCTCCGTGTTGACTAAAATGTTGTTAAAAAAATTACCACAATTATAAAAATAATTTTTGATGATTTTTATATCATGTTTATATATACATACATATGTATCACATATATCAAACTTAATTTGGTAACAGAATTATTTTAATTTTTAATTTTACAAAATAAATTTGAAATCATTTTTTTAAGATCCAATTTGAGATTGAAAATCATAAATTGAAGAAGAACCAAGAAACAAGAGTACAATATTAAAGTCAATTCAAACCATGCCTTTGAGAATATTACTAGTAACACTAATAGAAATTATTTTTCAAACTTGTAATAACTTCTTGTACTTGATAGAATTCGATGTGTCATTTTGAGTTAATGAAAATGCTAAAAATGCAATAAAAGCAGAGTCTCATCCCGTGTAATTATCCAACCTTTTTTTTCATCCAATTCAAATGCTATGCAATTGAATACCATACTTCAAAACAAAATTCAATAAAAGTAAGTTATACAAAAAATAATAAAGAAGAAGAAGAAGATTAATTATGAAGTATGTGAAGAAAGAGTGAAAACCCACATGATTTCTTCAAAGTCTGTCTTATAAAAACACAAAATGGCAACCAAATGCAAAACCTTACCACCACATGCACATTAATATTATATTGGAATGAAAGCAAAGAACAGAACGACAGGAAAAGCAACGAGAAACGAAAAAGTAATCGAGACAAAGCAACGAGAAACGCAAAAGTGAGCTGGAGAAAAAGGAAAGTAACGAGAAATGCAAAAGGAAGCGAAAGAAAGTTAAAGTAACGAGAAACGCAATCGGTGGGGGGCAGTGGACTGGCGATGGGATTCCTCAGTGTCGCAGGCGAGCAGGCAAACTCGACGCGCACAATTGTAACGGAACACTGGAGGAGCATTGAAAGTGGCGATGCAGACCAAGACGAAGACGAAGACAACGACCATGTGAGAAAGAGCAAGAGGGAGGAGAATCGGGTCTTGTCAGGCCCTCCTCGAATTCGATCTCGCCGTCTGATGCTTGCTCTCTCTCTGTTCAATCGCATTGTCGTCTGCAATCACTGCATTTGGGCCTTTATCTGTACATGTCAGAGAGAAAGCGAGAGAGAGCGAGAGAGGGAGAGCACCCTTTCTTCTCCTTTCCCCTCCCCTTCCCCCACTGCTTCCCTCACCGCCGCCTGCCCCTGCCCTGTATTTCAACGCTAATGAGCGTCACAAGAAGCTTCTGCTGCTCCTGCTGCTTCGTGGTCGTCTTTTTCCTCCTGTTTTTTTTTCTTCCGCTTCAGAGCGGTCATTTATGGCTCAAGCTCTTGTACCGTGTTCAGTACAGTTATCAAGTCAATGGATGTTGCCACATTCTGGAGCCGGTCAGTTAGGGCTCACTTCCCAAGGTGAGGAGAACATGCAGGCCAAGGAGTTTTAGGGGTAACGAATTGCAGGCGTTTGTATGTATGTATGTATGTATGTATGCGTGCTCTTGTGCAAGAATTATCTTATCCCACTTGCTGCTCAGGATCCATAAAGTCCAGCTTTACAGGTCTAATCACATTCAGACTCTTCGTTCATGCCACTCCTCTTTCTTTCTTCCCCACCCTCCTATGTTTCTGTTTTGTTTTGTTTTGTTTTTCCCCTAAAGGAGCTTGTCATTTAAAATAAAATATGAACAGATAAAGAAATCTCTTTGTTGTGTCCAGGTAGTGTCTGGATGTTGATGGAGCAATTCCTGACAAAAGCTGACTGTGTTTGACAACTTGGAAGAAGATGCTTCAGAATCCAGAAGGGAGATGGCTGCTCTACCAACAAGCACAGGAGCTGATTCTCTTGTTACAACTTTCTTACTCTGCATCTCAAAGGGTAATCACCACATTAAAAACTTAAGCAGTGTGGAGATACTTTCACCAACAGCTCCAGAATGTATTGGACTTAGTCATAGGCATAAAGCTCATTAGAGAAATGGTGCTTGAGCTTAAAGCTTCTGGGGACAAAACTTCACCTACTCTGCTGCAAGGGGACAAAAAACCTCAGATTCAATTTGGTTGGGGGGAGTACACATTCTTGATCAACAAACTACTGTCTGGGGTACAATTTTACATGGCATCACGCAATCTTTTTAATGAATAGTTTGTCACCTTGTGTTTTGTGTAATGCGCACCATTGACTTGCTGCAAGGTGTACATTGATAAGAAGAACAAGTAACATAAATGCTGATCTGGCAAGGACGAGTATAGTTCAACTGATTACTTGTGTATTTACTGTAGCTGACTGCATGCTTTGAAGTTGACTTGAAGGAGTCTTTGCTGAGCTCAGAAACTAAAAGGAACTTGTACAGAGCTGTGGCAAGTACTTCCAAGGAGCAGGTGCTCTAGGGTTTGGTGGCTGCAGGGTTGGTGGCAAAACACAGCCAAGAATGAATGTTCTTCTCCAATGAGATGACTAGACAATGTGCTCCTCCCACATTCTTTTGTTCATGTGTTAAAACACATGGTCTTCTGCATTGAAGCTGAACATTAAAAGAGTGGTGTGGTATTATTTAGTGGCTGCATTGTTTGAGGTGGGTAATTTTAAACTATAAGAAATAGGAAGTGCTCTGAAGACTGTGTATAAAATGATGAAGATTCCAGACAGAATTGGGCTCCAAGCCAGATCATGAAGAGTTTCTATGGTTTAACTGCATTGCCTGGGAAGTGGGTGCTCTTGTGGTTGGTGCTTCAGAATAATGAACTATTAGGATTAACCAATTGATTCTTGCTTGCTGTCTCTTCCTTCTGAAGCATTGGCATCCACATATTGTACTGTAAATAATTGACAAAGGAAGAAAGATGACTCTTTGCAACAGGGAACCGTTTGTGAAGAAAGAGTAATTATGTTTTTTTTTATCCACATTTGCAAAGTTTTAAATAAAGTTAACACCACTGAATGGAGTAAAATGAATTACTTGTGTGAATGTACAGTAAAAAAAATTGAGATGCTAAAGACTACAGATTGGATTTATGACCTTAAATAACTGATTAAACAATGAAATTATAAATTAACATTCACCCAACAATCATTGGATATTATCTTGGGTTATGTTTAAACATTATCTCAATTGAAAGCATTGTTAGTCAATGTTTTCAATTGAGGTTGACTTAGACTTAAACTGTGTAATTTTTTTGAAATCATATGTATATGTATATATATATATATATATATATATATATGATATGTGCCCTGAAAAATTACTATGTATACTACACTTATTTTTGAAAATAGAAAATATGTTTGTTGATGATTTTTTAATACTTCAAGTGTTCATGTTCTGAAACTTGCTTTTATTTATTTTTTATTTATATTTTTACCCATTAAGCTTTAGAAGTTTATTATGCTTTTTTTTCATCAGAAATCATTTTGATTTAAATAAAATATTCAACGTTTTTCCACATCACAATAACTTCAGAACAACAGCACAGTGGACTTTTAAAACCTCTATGAACCCATCTTCAGGAGTTACATAACAGAAATATGGGAGGAAGGCATGGAAATAATTTTGTAAAGAAAATGTGTGAATGCCATGTGGTAGGTATTACTCAGGCATAGTGCCCCATGTGCCAATCATTCTTTTCTATTGACTATTGTTCTTAAATATAGCATAGCTTGCTATGTGGGACAAGACTCATTGCATCCTTTCAGTAGGAAGAAAATAAAAAATGAAACGGAATTTGTAATGTATTATTTGTGCTCATATGAAGGAATAGAAAATCATTCTAATTTCCTTTTTGTAATTTTTTTTGTTTAAATGTGGTTAAGAATAAGATCATATTTTAAAATATTGAGTTCTGATGGAAAAAAAATCATTTCACTCCTTCAATTACAGTTTCATATTCAAATAATGGACATTGTATCATGCTAGGTAATCAAATAGCCAAAGAGTTTGCAATTTTATGTTTCAAATATTATTTGCATTATGATTATAAAAAAGATGATTTCCAATTTAGTCATTTTAATTTTTATATAAATAAATATTGTTTAAATCCATTGCTCATGTTCCTCTACACTTGTTGGTTGTGTTTGTCTATATAGGCCATCTACATTTCTTTGCATTTATTTTAATACAAAGTAATCAAACTATAAAACATCAATATTTGTTTTAGCTATGAGATTCTTTGTGATATCATTTCAATGTTCTTCCTTATAAAAGATCTTGCACTTCAAGTACAAGTATTAATGTTCAAAGTTTAGCAAACTATTTTTTCTTAAAAAGAGGCCTACTTTCTTTACGACAATATAATAAAACTAGTTTATGTGGTATAACTCTTAGGGAAGCAAACATCTAATACAAGGCGCCTTGCAATGCTTTTTGCATCTTGAATTTGGTACAATGAATTGTTGCATTTTGATCACAATGTATACCAAAAATGTGTTTGGATCTAATTTTGGTTTTTGACAAAAGAAGGTGTGTTCAAATTATATTTTTTTGTAGAAGATGTACTACAACTTTTTAAATTTATACAAATAAGAGAACTTAAAGATTTTTTTTTTTTTTTTTTTTTTTTTTTTTTTCTATATTTTTTCAATGCCGAAGTCATTCCACATTTTTGACATTTTTCAATGAAGATTTCAAGAGATAATAAAATTAGTTAAAAAGCTCAACATTAATTTGCACAGAACTTTTTATACCTTTCAATTTGACAAAAGTAAAGAGAATCATACTCTAAAGGTTCATATAATTGCATCTTTGATTTCTTTTGTATTACGTTTCATAATTATTTGCATTATTTTCTGTTACTAACTACATTTATTTATTTATTTATTTTTCTATATTTGTGTGTATATATATATATATATATATATATATATATATATATAATTTTTTATCATATAAAATTATTCTTATTTCATATGAACAAAATACAATTGTGTGATTTTTGGCTACATTGTTTGTATAATGATTCATCATTCTATTATAAATAACTACATATTAGTAGTATACTTAAGCTTGTTATTTTAAAAACCAAGTAAAGGTCTCAATGCTTGTTTGCATGTGTATGGATGTATATATGTACTTGTGTATGTATGGATGCATATACATACATACATAATAGCATTTAACTCCATGCTTTGCTTGAGAAGAACAATGTTGTAAGCAAACATTAAGGTGCAACAATAAACAAAAAAACATTAAGATGGAAACATGGACATTTAAACAGACGAATATACATAATTTTGCCTCTTTTTATATGATGTTTCAAATCCTATCTTTTAATTGTATTTTTCTACCAGGAAGAAGCAGTGAAGGTAACAATAGGAGAAAAAAAGGAATAAGAGTGGTTAGAAAATATATTTGAATAGTTGCCAAGTAGACATACGGTCTTCTGGATAGATCAAAAAACATAAATATAAAGGACTATCTTTCATATGTAAGATGTGCTTAATGAATTTGAAACTTTTCCAATTTGTTATTTTAAATACCATGTCTATTTTTAGATTTAATAAGTTTTTTATAAAAACATGTTTTAAATAATATGTGTACATGTAAACAAATATGTCTATTATACATATCTTTGTAGATATAAGATTTTCGTTGCTAATATTTTTAATTTCTAATATTTTTAATGATATATATATATATATATATATATATATATATATATACAAAAATATTTCTTAAATTTAATATATTTATACATTTTTATTTGATTTTAAAATAGCACAATATATATTTTTTACACAGTATAATGTAATTCCAAATGCATTATATTACTTATGCAATATATATATATATATATATATATATATATATATATAATTTAGAAATTCTACAACTTGTTGTGGCATAAGGTGGGGCTAGTTGCCATGACAAGAGCTGCAAAGAAGAAAAGACCAAAGATCTATATGTGGACATTGATGAACAAAAGTAGTTTTAGAAATTTAGAAAAGTAGTGAAAGATAGTAAATGAAAGTGTAGATAGTGGTGTAACAATGAAGCATAAGCCTTAAGATTAAAAGGTTCTTGGATTGCTTTTTAGCTAAATTTTTTACTTTAGGGTTTCAACCACACATTCTTGTATTTAGGCTTTTAATAACATTACTTTAGAAAAATCTTGGATCAAGAGACTTTTTTAATATTTTTTATGATTTTGGCAAACATAATGTTTGTCATATCATTTTTTGAAAATATAATAAAACAAAGTAAATTAGTTACTTGATTTTTACTAAACCATTATAGAAGATTTAAAAATAGAATTGTTTTGCATACAAGCACTTCTATCTTCAAAAAAATATATCTACATATGCTTGTTTGTATGTCATTACACATGAGGTACAAAGATTATATGATTAGTTAGAATAGTTTTGAGTTTTCATTTGTTTAGAGACTCAAAAATTGATATTAAAATAGCATAAATATTACAATGTACATTAAGTCACAAACATAATTTTTATAAACACAATGAAACTAGTTTTAAAACATTATAGACTAGTTGGTATGTTTCATTTTTGAATCATGTTTTAACAACAAGAAAAGTATAAAAAGTAAGCGTTTAAAAGAGATATAATCATTTATCTGAGGTAAGTACTGGTTTCCTTATAAACAGTGTGGTGGCAAACCTTCTAACCCAAACAATTGCATGCATTCCATTTTATGTCATCTCAGAACAAAAGCAAAATATCAATACAAAAATATTCTAAATTCCTATTGAAAACACACAAACCAAACAACATACATGACCCCTGCACCCACCACAATCATCGAAATCCACATGTCAAAAACAAATATCTGACACACACACAAACACAAACATCTGAGAAGGCATTCACTCCAAAAGGCAACACACACAAAAACCGAAGGGTACACGTGGACCACTTAATTCACGCGGCATAGACACGTCAGCGGGCGACACCGATTGGGTCAGTGCCGCGTGGCACGCCAGTTGGCACAGCCTCTACTGCTCCTGCCCTGGGGCAGTGGCATTGCAGAGCAGCGATGCAGCGATGGCGCAGGACCACCACCGCGAGCGATGTCGGCTCTTGCTGTAGCTATGGACAGCGCCACCCCGGAGTCGAGTAATGCGCGCCGTTGGCTCGCACCGCCGACGTGAATCACACAACAAGATTGTGTGGGTTCAGTCTGGACCGAAGTGCCGGGGCCGGGGAGCGGGCACGTGCGAGAGAGATCGTGTTGCAGGGTGGCGATGGCCGTGGCGCTTCCTCGTCCAACAGTCTGCAGACGGTCACTGTGACTCGTCTTGTCGAGCTCGGTTGTGGGTACTAGTATACCTGGTCATCACTCGTCACGTGTGGTGGTTGGTCTTCTTGGAGCTTGAGTTTTGTCGGGTCTGCACTTAGGCTTATTTCCGGTTGATTGGAACTTGATGGCTAATTCGGCAGGTGGAACGCGTGATTCTCATCTTGTATTTTCGCGGCGGTGAAGCTAGCAAAGTTGGGGTGGCGTTTCATGAAGAGTGGCTGTCACCCAGGAGGTACCGAGAGCAGAATTTCGTGTTTCCAGCTTGCATCCACAAAAAATCAGACCGTCCTCAGCGTGCACGCATCCTGATTATGAATCATCGTCTAGGTGAGACTTGTAGATGCTGAGATTGTGACGGGCGTGCTGGCAGTTCTGGTTGTTTTATGTGAGCAGTTGTGTCGTGCCTTTCTTAACTTTCCAAGTTATGGAAGAGTTGAGGAAATATTTAACAGCAGCATCTCACGTATGGGGGGAACAGTTGTTAAAGTCTGCTTGCTTCTGGCCGATGCCCTTTTTCCAGTTCCTCGAATTCGGTGAGCATGCTTTTTCTGCCAGTCCTCCTTGCTTTGTTCGCAGCGACCACGATGACGACCTCGTATCCTGCCATGTGCTAGAAGAAACTTGAAGTGCACAAGAGTCGACACGAGACTGTTGTGATCGTGACGAAGCAACAACCTGATACACTCAACCGTGTCTGTCACCCTCATGTCCTTCATGGTGGTTCCATGACCAGATTACAGTTGCAACTGCAGAGCCTTAAGTGCAATCACACTCCCCATAAACTGAGCCTCTACAGAATCAGTACTCTCTGGGGTACTAGGTAGGTTACCCTCTCATGTCATCTCAACGGGGAGCTTCTGCCCGATGTATACAACATGAGCTTCGGACCACGTTTAGGCAGATCCATGAGATTCCAAAGCTAACTACCAGCGATGTGCACTTTATCTAGAGCTATTTCGACCGAAGCCCATGTACAACATGCGGCTCCGAGCATGTGACAATCAATGTAGAGTCGCAAACACGTCATGGGTCGCCACTTCAGCTGCGAGAACCCAAATTCCGTGATCTGGAAATGACTCTTTATCTCCTTGACATGCTTAGAAAATGTTGGTTATAAACACAGGTCGCTTTCTGGGTTATAGACATGATAGTTCAACCCAGGAGACCTTCGAAGACTCAGAGTGCAATGAATGGGATGATACCGCAGCTTGATTTCATGAAACCTTTTCAAAGGAGAAAAGCTTCTAGCCTGCAGAACAGCACAAAATTTGCCGGGCTCTCTGTCCGAATGTCAGCTGCAGGAGCTGCTTCCAATGTCATGGTTTAGCCATGGAAGGAGTTCCATGCAAGTTTTTCTTTCTGCAGTGAAGGTCAGTCTGACGATGTTATCATAATAATAATAATAATTCACTATCAAAATATTCTTAAATGCGTGTGCGGAAATGCTTTTGAATATGTAATGTTTAAAATTTGTGGAATAAAATATAAACAAGATAAAGTAATACAAAATAATCTTAGATTGAATGTTCATAGATTTGAAATATTATGTTGTATTCTTTTGAATATCAAATCAAATTGAGGAAATATGTATTGTATTAAGATCGTTTAATTCATGATTTTATACTTAAAAGAATATTGATGTTTTAACAACAATAAAGCTATTAATCTTTTTCATGAAATTAACCACACAGAGAAAACATTTACAAATTGTTTGTGGAATTCCTATGAGAAATGTATAAGGTTTATTACATTTTAAAATTAAGGTTTTAAAACTTAATATTAGTATTAATGGAAATAAGTTTGTGGAAATTGTAGTAAATGTTGCAAGGACCAATCAAATATAAAGTCATGGAAGGTTGTTTTTGAAACAACTTGTTGAATATATAATAGTTTACTAATTATTGTTGATGTGTTTTTGAAAACATTGATTCATTTTAATAATTGCATCATTATTTTATATTTAAATCACTAAATTAAGAATATAGAAATTCGCTCAATGAACACGTCATTAATTTTGGAGAATGTTAAATAGACCCAACTTATTACTAAATCAACCCACCCATCCTAACCATCATGAATATATAAAAAAAAAATAACATCTAGATTCATTTCTTTACGATTAGATTTGCAACCAATAAAAACCAATGACATTCATCATCATTACCATATTCTTCATCATGAATGGATCTATTTAGTAAAAGTGATTCAATTTAACATTTCTCTAAATTTAAGTATATATTTGTGAAAGCTAAATTTTGAAAAAAAAATATATAATTATCTGAATGCAAAACATAAATAACAACTACTAAACATATAAATACATTAAGTACTAACATGGTCAATAATTTTAATTGAATTCATGTTTTTTGAAAATATATTATCTGCAGATAATTGTTCCAGTAATTTATCTATAACTACAATCCTATAAGTATACATATACATACAGGGAAAAGAAAAGAAAAGTTTAAAATTCAATAAAACTTAAAGCATTAAAGAAGTATATGTTTCTACGTCAGTAAGTGTGTGTATATATATATATATATATATATTTATCTATATGTTCATTGCTCTCTGTGTGTTTATTGGTAGAATATAAATAAATAAATAAATAGTATGATATTAAGATCAAATGTAGATGTAAAGATAATTATTTACATGAAATAAAAAATAAATAAACAGTTTTCTGATCTTTTTTATTTTTTTATTTTCAGTTTTTGTATCTCTTTGATATAGAAACTTATAAGGAAATTTAGAAGTAACAGTGCACCTCAATGATTAAAATAATTCTGCAATATTATTTGAAGTTTGAAATGATATTTAACATTTATTAAATATTAAATATTTCTCTTTGGTTTTGAGCTTATAACAACATCCATCTAAACATGTTATTCTTTACATCAACAAGTTTTAGATGTGCTAGGCAAGTTTCTTTTCAAATACAATACATTATATAGCAAATCGTTTTTCTACAACTCATGCCAGAATCTGATAAATAAAGAGACTTAAACATAAGTTTAACAATACTGCCTTTCATGTCACTAGTAAATACCAATCAGTGACAACCAAAGAATTTAATCAGAATAAACAACCACTAAAAGTACCCATTATTGAACCATTACTATTTCAATAATAATTTTAAAATTTTATTTATTTAAAAATGTAATATTTAATCAATATAATTTTATTTAATACTGAGAAATTATTTTGTTTATGGATGGATCTATTTCTTAAAAAAACAATTTTTAATAAAATTATAAAATAATAGTTGCTGTAAAAATCTATAACAAAGTCAAAAAAATGTTATTACATGCCTTCCAAATTTATAGAGAACCGTTTCCTATCAATATTATTTCTTGGAAAAAAATCATATTTAAAATAAATTTTATAAAGAAAAAAAATATTGCTTAGATCATTTAAATTGACAAGCAGCAGTTATCAATGGTTGCATGGATGAATCTTCATTTTCATCAAAAAAGTTCACATATTTTTAGAATTCACAAGTTGTTATACAAGTCGCTTTGCATTGTAGAGTGAGTGCCTTCATGCACTTATATGGTCTTTGTTTTTATCAAAAAAATATTCACATTCTGTAGAGACAGAACGTGGCTTTTATTCACTGCATGCATCAAAAAATGTAATATTGTCAAGAATTCTCAACAATACAAGTTCATTTAATAGAGGATTTCAATGGTTGCATGGATCAGTCATCATTTTCATCAAAAAAGTTAACCTTCATTAAAGTTCTACAAGACGTTTTACATATGACTAAGATACTCTATGAGGCAATTTATAGTTGATCAAGGTGTTGTTGTGCTAAAAAATAGCATAATATGTAAAAACAATATGAAATGCTACAAAAGTTTGGATTCTAGTCAAAAATAAAATAAATAAAATAAAATATTTCTCTAATTTGTTTAAGTTTTTTAATGAACGATAGAAGTTGTAGGATTCATTAGTAAGGAATTTTGAGGGGCTTTGGTGACAAAACTATAATGTTTTGATTGTTAAGCCATCTCATGTGGATGGATAAGATGTGTGATAGAGGACTTCATTTCCATTGGTTGAAAGTTATGTCCAATGGACTTTGAGATGTTGTCTAGGACCATATTGGAATTTGAAGTCACTTCAAGGCAATTCATTTAAAACAAGGTGGACCATTCAAAGCAAGGCAATGCATTAGAAGCTTAGAGGTTGGATTCAAAAAGCTTATATTTTGGGCTAAACATTGAAAAAAAAAAAATGTGCAATTTAGATTTTGGATGGGAGAGATATGGTTGTTTGAAGTTAGGGTATAAATTTGGTACTTCTTGTTATTCTTTTAAGCATATAAAGAGTTTCAGGAATGCATTTAATAATTAAAAGATAGCATTGAAAAGTTGATTTGAAGAATTACATTTTATATGAAAGAATTGTCAAATTCTGATTTTGAACAAAAAAGATGAGCTATTGAAGTCTATGCTTCAAATCTAAATTTTGTAAGTGAATTCTTTTCATAGAAGTTTTAAGTTGGGCTATATTTTGAATTTTTGGATGACTTTTTGGCTCAAACTTTCTATAAGTATAGATGACTACATTAAAAAATTATATATAAAAAATTCATAATATTTAAGTATTGAATTTTTGAGATATAATGGATTTAGTGCATAGGTGCCTAAAAATAAATACGTTTTGTATTTTCTAGAAGTTTGACAATTTCCAAAGATTTGTAATGAATATATAATTCTATTTTTTTATAAAAGCAATTAAAGATAAAAGATAATTTATAGAATAGATTGAATCTAACTAGACAAATAGATTAAATGTTATAGGATAATACATATTTGGAAGGAATTTCCATAAGAATAGAAGTAATTTTAGGATTTCTAATCATATCTTGAGAACTCTTGTACATCCTAGACTTGTATATTTGATGTAAATAACTTTATGAAAAGAAGCTATAAAGAAAATTTTTATTTTATAAACGTACAACTTATTTGAATGATTAACTAGAGGCCCAATACTTTCTTGAGGCAAATTCTCTCTACTATTACAATGTCATGTAATAACACAATTATATAGTAAAAAAACAAAAATATGGATGTTGTTATTGAAGAGCCTAGTAGGAAGATGTAGAAGAAAAACAAGGATAAATGATAGGAAGGTAATAAAAGGTTTAATTTTAATGTTGTCTTCTAGAGAAGGGCCTTTTATTTGCTCTATAGGGATATAAATATCACAAATCATAGTAAATGAGATAAGTAATTGATATAGACATGTTTAGAAAAAAAATTACCAATAGATTTAAGTAAAAATTACCTCAAATTACTAAATATTGATACTTGAAGAGGACCAATTGTTGACCTGGATCATAATCAAATTCTAAGAGACAAAACCATGCACCTACAACAATTCCAAGGTTTTTTTCAAAGATCTAGAATAGAATTAGAGAGATTTTTTTTTTTTTTTTTTTTTTTTTTTTTTTTTTTAATTTTTTAGCATTGGTTTTATGATAATCAAGTTAATATTCAATTTTTGGAGGAATTTCAAAATTAATTGTATTTAAGATTGGATTAGATTATGAAAAATTAAATTATGTTTACAAAATTGAAAACCTCTTGAGTTTTCTAGTGTATATATAAATGAATTTTAGGTAATGTGTTGGTGTTCTAGTTGTTAGGGTGTTTGCAAAATTTGAGATCAATCAAATATTTGGATCAAAGTATATGAAGGTTTTTATTAGTTAAAGTCTCAGAAATTAGAATTTGAAGGTTAGTGAATATTTTTAAGATCTTTTGCAATTTGTCAATTGGATTGAAGTATTTTTTTTTTGACAGTAGACTTGATTTTCAAAAATTTAGGTGAATTTTGGGAGCAAATCAATGGTTCAAGAAGGAAATATTGGTGCTAGAAGTTCAACATTCAGATTGAAGTAGGAGACTGGCCAATACCTAGGCCAAATTTAGGATTGATCTTCTATTTTATAAGTTTGATTTTCTTCAAATTTTGCGTGCTTCTTTTCAACTTAGTTATTAAGAGGTGTGGAAAATCTTAAGCTAAATCATTAATATAACTGTTAATATTGAGATTCTAAACTATCCTAGGATTAGGTTAATTTGATTAGGATTTTATTAGGATTTAGGATTTGGTTTAGAATTTAGGAATTGGTTAGGATTTTGAGTTTGTTTAGGATTTAGGATTTTTTAGGATTAAATTAGGATTTGACTTAGGATTTAATTAAGAAATATTAGGATTTTAACTAAAATTAAATTAAGATTTTATTAGAATTTATGTAAAATATATGTAAAATTTTATTTTAATACTTCTTTTGAATTTCTTTAGGATTTTTTCATGCTTCTTTCATAATTTTTTTAAGGTTTCTTCAGATTTGATTAAAGCTTCATTAGCATTATTAAGATTTAATTGGAATTATTTAGGATTCTATTAGAGTTAGAATCTTGTTTTTTCAAATTTTCTTCTATCTT